TTTTCACATTAAAATTTCACTTGGCCACTTTTAAAAAAGATAAACAACATAACAGTGGCCCATGCTTAAATCCCACCCGTGACCTCCATCCTTGCATAGAGATGCAGATGCACTGAGCCTATACTTCTTAAGGCTGAAGCTCATAAAAGGTGGCAATTTATCACAAATCCCTGAATCCTCCACTCTGCAGCGTGAGGAATACACAGTGCCTAATTAACATAAACAACAGCAAATGCCCTGAGTCCTCAGAGCAAGGGCTGACAGTGCTGCAGCCCAGCATGCACAGAGGTACCCTGTGCTGCTGGTGTCGTGCCGGGATGGGATCCAGCTTAGCTGGTGGCACCTCAAAGCTCTGTGTGCATTCTGTCCTGGGCTCGGGGAGCCGGGCTGCTCCCTCACCCCCAGCTCCGTGTAAAGCCCTGAGATATATTGCCCTATAAAGTGTGATATAATCCCTGCGGGTTGATGGGGTTTAACATCACCCCATGCCAGAGGGATGCTCCAGCGCATCCCTCCCAGGAGGCAGCCCAGAGGAGCCTGCCACCTCCAGGGCATGGTCCTCCTCTCCCAGCACCCATGGGCTGGATTGGGATGGGATGGATCCCTTGTGACTGGGGCCATACATGGAGAGCCCTCCCGGGGGCCGCAGCACTGCAGGGAGAGGGAGGGCAGCGGGGGGAGACCTCCCCGGGGAGCGGTGGGAGCTGGATCTGGCCCAAGCATGAGGGCACATCGTCTCCAAGATACAGTGGCTTGGGGGTAGCTTTTCCTAAACAAAGAGCATTATAAGGGAGCTACTGCTGGAAATTTCCATTCCTTTGTTGGGTAGATGCTGTGTAAATAAATACATTCCTAAGATTTTTCATAATGCTGGAAAGGTCTGGAAAAGAAACTGTATAGTTTGTCAAATTGCTGGAGTTCATATATATTATTTCTCAGCCGCTGGGAACATGATATACAATGGCACAGAATATAATGCAAGAAACATACAGAAACATTAATCATTCAGTAACGCTCAAAGTCTTCTTAGAACCACTCTGTGCATTTGTATGTGGCATGTACAGATATTTCTTCTGTTTTGCCCCGTGGGATTTAAAATATTCAACTCATGTTACAGATTGGGTTTGTGAATTCCTTACCTTAACTCTAAATAATCCTTACCTGACAGGTAACTACAGTGGCAGCATTTAGTTATTCCCTGGTTTAATGTGCGGGTGCTTTGAAAGCATTTATAAATTAGTACATGAGATAAATGTGTAAGCAACCTCTTACTTCGCTCTTCTGCTTTTTTTTTTCTGTCTGAATTTTATTTAAAAACCAGATGATTTCAGAAGATTCCATTATGATAATGATCTTGTGCCTGATGTATTTACAAGTTGAAAGGCTCAAAACTCCATTTTCAATGTCTTACTTTCTTGTCATATATAAACACTAACTACATATAGAAGAGATTATATTCCTGTATGCAGTGTATTGGTAATGTAAACCCAGGAGCTACTTACATAGTAAAGACTATTGCATCTTTATTGACAGAACACATATTTTTCTTGAATAAGCTAGTAACTTCTCCCACTAACTCTACCCACTTGGACTCAGTTAATCGGGATTTATAAGATCACTTCCCTGTTTAATGCAGTACAAATACTTCAGAAATTTAGAACAGAAAATGTTCTTTGGACTACCAGAACAATGTTTATTACCTTTCTTTTTGAACACAGTCTGACATTTATCTTATATTTAGACTTTCCCAACAGCTGTACCTGCTTTCTTTAGGATGAATTTTTAAACTTTGAAAATCATATCTGCTAGTGATGCAATTCTACTGGAAAAATATCGAAATGATACTGAAATAATACTTCTTAAGCACTTCTCATTTTTAGATCTCAAACTTCTAGACAAAAGAGAGCACTTAATAAACAGTTGCATAAAATACAAAATGTACTTTTTTAACATTTGTCTTCTAATTGACCAAAATACATTTCCATTTATCTCCTAGATATGCTATTTTTCAGTCAGATTAGAAATGTAGAAAAAAAACACCCCACCTACAACCAAAACAACCTAGAAGCCAAACCAAAAAACCCCTCAAAGAGGACTACCTCTGTAAGGTAAGCCCAAATACTTTTGGCTAGCTGGTTAGCTCCCTAATTTCCTTCTGTTTGTACACTGCCACGGCATCGCCAATGCTGCAGTGCTCATCTGAGATCCTAATTTTTCCTGACCTCAGTACTCACTTTTGGAGGCTACTATGTCAAAGCATTTCAGCCTTTGGGATGAAATAGCCTGATTCAGCCTTCTCTCAAAGAAAGATTATTACGGCAATTGAAGCTGTCAAACTGAAGTAGATTATAAAATCTTATTACTATATTTTAATATAAAATGTTGTTGACTAAGGGCATCAAATTTAAACTCAATTAATAACAATGATCCCAGAGACTGCAGACCAGTAACTTATCTACCACACAAACAGCCACACAAATCCCTCACATATTTTTTCCAGGCTTTCAACTTTGATTAATAACATGGCAAAACCATGCAAGTCTCAACCATATTAACCACAGCTATATTTTCAGTCTTACTGACGTGAACACTTTAATATAATAAAAGGAAAAGGAAAACAGAAGAGGTGTTTCATTAGGACACGAGGATTACTAAAACCGCTGTGTGGAGTATTTGTCAGGAGGTGGTAGGGGAAGAGTTATTACTTACATTTTAGCATGTCGCTAGGACGCAGAGCAAGAGGCTCCCTCAGTAAGATATGTTTGCTTTTGAAAAAAAAAATAGTCAGACTGTCCAAGCTCTTCTTACTGACACATTTATAATACCAAATTGCAAACTCGGTTAAGAAGTTTGTAGCGCTACATGGAAAACTATTTTTCCAATTTCGTTATGAAGCTCGGCAATGCAGCAGTGATACAAGATGCAGAAGTTCACATATTAACCTGCCAGTCCTTTTTTATTGATAGACGGCTACATGCAAAAATATATGAAGCATGCAACCTGTCTGGTTAAAAAAATAGCCCAAACCACAAACCCTCAGCAAATCTGTTCTTGTAGTTGACTATAGACATTTATAACCTATTTTAAAAGCATTTATTAAAAAAAAAGTATCCCCCAAACCCAAACAAAACCCCCCTGAATGGCTGATATAAGCAAGAAACTAGCATTATGTCATTAGCATAACAGCTTCAAAACAAATCCAAAGACCAATGCTTGCCTAATATGGAATTCTTAAATATTAAACATGTTTGGCTTAATTATTGAGTGATAGTGGGACTACAGTTAAATTTAGTCCAGTCTCCTCATCGATTGTTCATTAGATGAATGAAGGGTATTCCTTAGATGAGTTTCTGACACTAAATTCAGCTGAATGAATGTTTATGCACATCATAAACATAAACTATATTTGGCTGAGTATGTCCTCTGACTTTTTTCTTTCTGCATCTACCTGCCTACACATTTGAACTGGCAGTATGTTTATAACGGTGCCTTTTGTAAGAGAGCCAAGCTTTGTCAATCGGAATAACAGGTAAAACCAGTCATATATTTTCTATTTCTAAATCATTTGCATGAAGACAGCTACATTTCAAAATTGAGGGAACAGAACAAAGAGATACAGGCATATATCATAATAATAGTGACCCTGAAATAACTGCTCAGGACAGCACCCAAATATTGTATAAGAAACACCTAGATACCGCGGATGGGATGAGAGAGCCTAGCAAAGAGAAGGGCAGAGCAATAGTAAACACCTTGCCACACTCTTACCCTGAAATGAAAGCATCATTTCTGCTTTGAGTCTTTTAGCATTTCTAATGCACAACATCTGTGGTATGAGAAATTCAGGGGAACGGTGAAGGCACACACTCCAATTTTTTTCTACACACCAGAAAACAAACAAATGTACAGAAAACCTTTATATGGCACTGAAGAAAGTGAGACCCTATGGACAGTCTTACATATGAACTTCACTATGGAAGAGATTTTTCTCCCACTTGAATGCCACACAAGCACACACAAACCATTCCCGCTCATCTGCACTCCCTGCTCTGGCATTGGGACTTTGCTTTTTAACTAGCCTGGGCTTGGCTGCAACTAAGATAAACATATTTAGCTGCAACTTTTTTTTCTTTCAAAAAGAGGCAAACTGGATTATAGCAAATAACCTTTAAGATAATTAACTGACAATGTCGCAACTAGCATAAAATCTTCCTTCAGGCGACCCCTAATTTAAGTATTACTGGCACAAAGTGGAGACAGATTGTGCATCACCACCGCAATATTTACATAGCAGAAACCCACAGAGCAGGAAACGTGAGACTCAATGATGCACTAAATTAGGAACAATCATATTCTAGTGTTAATTTGCTTTCTCCTCTATCCAAATTTCAGGTCCAGCAATTGGTACAAATGCACATAAAACATTCCCATTTTTAATGATTAAGAACCACATTCTGCAAGCAGTTCTGCTCAAAAGTATTCACTCATTACTAGGGATGTTTGCAGGATCAAAGCCCCAAAAGTGAAACAGGTTTACCAACACAGAGATTTTTCTTGAAAACCAAGGCTTCCTAATCTGTTTATTTTTTTCCATAAATGATGTCTGTACAAGCGGTCTGAGTCGTCTGCCAAGCTACCTGCCTTTTGATTGCAAATATTTTCCTATGACAATAGCACCGTTATTCTGCGGCGTAATGGAGAAGCGGTTTTAATTCACTGAGGCAGTAGATCTATGCAGGTACTCAAAGGCTGTGTAATCAAATAATTAAAGTTAAAATGGGGGGGAGAAAAAGATAGCTGATCTATTTGTAAACATATTGGGCAGTGACACAGTTATAATAAATACACTCTATAGTCTATCCAGGCACAGATTTCATGAGCAATACCCTCAGTTACCGCACACTTCATAAGACAAAAGCAAAGAGCCATCACCAATCTTTCTAAATCTTAAATAATATTCAAATTTCTTTTCCACTATGGCATATTAACAAAATATTTACCTTGCCTAATCGCTGATGTTCTTCAAAAGCAGAAATCAGTTCTTGTGCCCACTTTATTTTTTCAGGGCTGGGAGAGAACTGTTCCTGGACAACAGCAATTTGGTTGGGGTGAATCACCTGCTTACCTACAAAGAAGATTAATAACACCAGAATCATGCATCGACAAACAGATGTTCAAGCAAAATGTTCCAACCACTTGAGGCTCTCATATGCCTCACAGACTTTCATGCTCTTTAACTAATTATTTTACTTGTTTTCTTCTATTTTTTTAAGCTGGTCAACAGGCAGATAGCCATTTGCCACATTTTTTAAAGAATAAAAATATCCTGAGCTATGCTTGCATTCAGTAGTGTTTGACAGAACTCACGATTCTTCTTGCTCCCCATTTCGATCCATACATCTTCTCTCAGTCGTTTCAGGTGCAATTGTTTGTCTGGGGCAGTCAATAACACTTAAGTATAATGCATCGCTGAATTTAACTATATAAATAACAGCTCCAGCCACATATAAATACATTATATTAAAATGCATTCAGAAAATGAGCTCTGAAGAAGGTGGCAAGAGATTTGTAGGACTGAAAAGTTACCAGTCATGTAAGGATCATGCCCTAAATTCTCGGTATTGGCTTAGCATCATAAAATCCTCAATGTTGTTTAAATTGTTGTTGTTGCAATAGTTAGCAGTTGCAGGTAGGCTGCAATATTTATTTACTCACCGGGATATTAAACAACTACCAGCAGTGCCCTGAAGTTTTATGAAGCACTTTTTTTTATTCTTTCTTGTACAAACATACATTAAGAAAATAAAAATAGATGTTGCTTTTTTTTACTAGAGATTTTCAAACATGAATAGACAGCCACATAATCCATTTTAATCTGTTATTATATTTAGCTACCTTAAAACAAATACATATCTAATTTGTTTGACAGTTTTAAAAGTGTAACATTGGATGTTATTAGTTCATTTCTAAGGGAATTTCACAGACCGATGTGATTTCTGCACTTGGGTTTCGAAGTGTTTTAATAAAGAGAGGCTACCGTAATTCCCTGCTTCTTGCGGAATAAATGACTCTCCTCTGTGCCAGATAACAAAACCAGTTAGGGGGATGAGCCCGATCCTGCAAACCTGCCATCAAGTGAGCAGTCTCCTGCACACACAGAGGATCCCATGTCCGTGCCGTCCCGCTGCAGGCTGCAGCCTCTTGCGGGAGTGAGATTTTTGCACTCAAGGAAAAGTTGGAAGCGTCCGGAGGTTTCCTGTGCACAAGGGGCTCTGCTCCCATGTTCTTACTGACATGAAGCCAGACCTGCATCAGCAATCAGCCCCTCACCCAGTATAAGAAGTCTCACGTGTGGCTGCAGAGATACACACCTATTTTAAAGGAAATTACCACAGCAAAAAATTCCTGGAATTACTTTTATCAGACTGCAGTGGGTCTGAGTGATACCTGGAGTAGGAACAAAATCTGGGGATGCAGCTGCACAATCTACTTAATTTAATGGGCAAAGAAATAGTAACTTTTTAGTGTTGCTACATTTCTTTGCTAAAAAAGCCATAAGTAAGTCAATTTTATTTTATTTCACATCAAACAACCTTTAGTTTACGATCTGAAGGGCATCCAAATATTCAGTTTGAAATTTCAATACCGTAGCTATTTTAAAAATAGCTTAAAAATAATAAAAAGTTTAAAACTCAGTGAAAACTATATTTTTTGAAAGAAATTATATGGAAACAAATTTCCTTAACTAATGTGTTTTACATGAGGTCTTATCAAAGCTTTTAAGTCGATTTAATCAAATGTCACCATTAATAAGATTATGATGTTCCTTATTTGTAATACAACAAATTCTCTCTAGCTAAACTACTAATTCTAAAATTGAAGGATGTACAAATAATTCCTCCAAAATCCTAAGGAGCTTAACTTTCTGGCAAAAATGTAGAATATATTTTAAACTATACTTAAAGTCAGTCTATGATTATAAAAAAAATTAAAATATTTATACGTAGTTTTTTAAAGTGTAAAACATTTTTTAAAAATATTTGCTTTTGATAAAGATGTCTATAGCAGTAAGCTATACTTTTAATTATTAAAACACTACTCAACAATTTACAGAGAATAACATACAACTTTTGATTTATAGCACTCAGTTGATTTTTTGTCACAGATTATGTATCCAAATAGCTGTATAATAGACGTAATGCCATGCAGGAATGAAGCAAATATTTTAAATGGAATTGTTGTTATTGACAAGTTACTGAGAGACTGCAAAATTGGAAGACATTAAAATTTATGACCATGAAATCCTTTTTACAGTACCACTTGATATATCGTGCTTTAAATCAATACCTGTCAAGTCTTTAGGTAACTGTATGATGGTGTCGTTTCAGTCAAAAGACTGCAAAGAGAGAGGAAACCTATAGTGGTTCGTATTTATATCTGGCTTCTCAGCATGTAGCACAGGACCTTCTGTAATGACTAAGTCAGCTGTTAAAGCTTATGGCAAGGTTTACTTAATTTTTTACATAAACATTCCTAAAACTGACGACCATTTATATAGGCAACATACTGACTTTAAGACCATGGGTTCTGGTATTGTAAAACATCTTGCTGAGTCTGTATGTGTGTGTGTGGGGGTGTATATATATACCACCTCCCCCTATAAAATGTATACATGTAAAAAAACCCTATAAATATACATATAAAAGATCTATTAATTTGGCTAAAGTACATTTGAAAACATTTGATTTTATGTAAACACACTCACTGAAGGAAAAACAGGCTGCTTTTAAGATAACTGGGAAAGAAAACTTGGCTGCAATAAGGAATGAGGGTCACAATAGTAACTAAATAGCTGGTAAATTTTTTGTTCTATTATTTCGCTTGTTTAATCTTGAGTGAACATATTTGATAAAATTAAGGCAAATTCTACCAGTCTAAATCTGAATATGGGAAAATCTACGGACATATAACTTTGCTGAATATTTTGGGTTTACATTAGTTTTGAGGGTGGTGAATTTGGCCCTACGCATGCAAATATATGTGCACTTCACCAGCTGCGAGAGCAATTTGGAAACCTCAGCTAATTTTAGACCTGTTTGTTTCAATGATTTTGATTCTTCATGAAAAAGTAGCAGGAAGGGATCTTTATCTTGTTATTTAAAATAACAAGAATCGCATGTTTTGAACTTGTTATTAAGGCAACATTTCAGTATTTTACTCTCATGTTGTCAGAGGACTGTCAGTGGCAAATACGATCTGCAGACTTCTGCTTTATACAAGGTCATGGATTAAGCTAAGACCCATTTGTAATTTTCTGTGATGAATACTAAATTGGAAATGGTAAATTGTTTCATTTATATAGCTTTGGAATGAAATGGTTTGGCTTTCAGTTTTGAAGTGACATTTTATTTTAATCAAAACAAGCAAAAACGAATCTAAAAACATTAAATAAACTTAAAGCAAAAGAAACAAAAGAAAAAGTTAAACATTTTGGATCAGCCTCAATTTTGTTTTCTTTTTTACAAAAAATATTAAAAACGATAAAATGATGTTTTGACTTGAACAGATTTTTTTAGTGCTTTTTTTTTTTTTCCCCGTTTTGTCCATCAAATCTGAAAAGTCAGTACTGACCCATCTGTAATTATGGTTAGACTGGTTGTCAAGCTGTTTGCTGTTTTTGGAAATGCGTTGATGATAGTTGCAGGAAAGCAGAAGGCAAAGAGCAGGATCTGTGAGTTCACCTTCAGGAATTCTGTACTTTTTACAGACCTTTAGTCCTGGCATGGAAAGGCAAGATACCTCTATGGCTGAGTTCGAAATTCACTTTACACACTAAATTGTTATGCATGACCTTTTATTTGTCTCCTATCTTGACCCTGTCCTGATGTCAGAAAATTTTCTCCATAAAGTCAGTGGAGTCCAAACTACTATCAACATTGTTTATACCGAGTATTTCTAAATTTCCTAAATTTGCAGCCGGAGTTAAGTGTTTAAATACACGTTAAGCATTGAAAGAGTGCTCTCAAAGATGCTAAGCATCTGCAACTCCATCTTCTGTCAACAGGAGGTTCAGATGCTTAATTTTTTTCCAAAATCAAGCCTTTCCTTAAGCTAGGAAATACTGGTCCAGATTAGGCAGTCATCAGCAGGTGCTACTATTCAGGAGCTCCATTATTTTCCCAACTTCAATCACAGACGACTGAAGGGTGGAAGTCCGCATGGGCATGGATAATGTAGCTGCGAGGAGCTAACAGGTTTGCCTCTGAAACAAGATCTGGTTTTGCAAATGTCGAAGCTCAGCAGACAGTAAGGCAGAGTTTGTGCTGAAGAGCATCAATCTCTGTTCTTTTACTGGCACATCAAGATCACTTAAGAGAATGCTTGGTTTATCAGATTATTTTGCTTGGTGCTTTAAGATATCATATACCGCCAACTGTAAAAGTACAGTTTGCTACTAGATGGCATCACCAGGACCCATCCCTTTGGTAACAAAAACCTGAGAGAGAACTTGTTATCGTATGTATATCCTGACTGATGGTCAGAGACAAATAATGTAAAATATTTGTCCTATATGCTAGAATTATCTAATGCATGTGTCAAATGGCTGATTTCTATTGCAAAACCCCAATCTTTGGTGGCTGCACTGTCCCACCAGGGTGTCTGAGTGATCTGGTACACCAATCAGAGGGTAACAGGCTGCCTTAGAGGAGGCTGGGGCAAGGAGCCTGCTGCTCTTGCTGTCTGCCAATACCCGTAGGTGTCACCAGCACTTGCTGGGAGGGGCGCCAGGAGACGAAAAACAAATCAAAGAAAACAATAAGAAAATAACTTTCCCCTAGCACATAGATTTGCTTCGCAACTCCTTCACCTAAAAAGTATTTTTCAACAACTGTTGTTTAAAAAAATCAGGAGAAAGGGAATCACGTATGCTAAGAAGCAATTGTAGAGTGGTCATTGCAGAGTACAGTATCGCCCCTCCCGTGCTCTGTGATGGGAGGAATCACTGCACAGCCTCTACCCCAACTTCTCTTCAAAAACAGTCACACGCTTGACGTGGTTTTAAAAAGCAGCCTGTGACTTTTCAGGCAAAATTTCCAGCCCCAATTTTAAAGGTGCTAATACGCATAGAAGAGCTTGGTATTACTGAGTTTTTCAATAAAAGACCTGCAATAAAAACCAAGTTATTTGTCTAAGTGACAGTACATGTAGCAATATATTTAAATTGAAGAAGCTATGCATTATTTTGAGACATCGGCAGAAAGAAAGCCATACCAGTGAATCCCATTGAGGCACCTTCTCTTGATTGCCTGCGGAGCCCATCTTCATCTCGGAAATCGATGTAAACAAGGTCTACTGCTTGAAGGCCAAATGCCTTTGCTGTGACTATTATTTTCTGCCTGGCATACAGAATATCATGGGTTTCCTTACTGCTTGTTGCACCTACGGAAACAATGAAAATAAATAAAAGGTGACAAGAGTGTTTGAAATCTTTCTATTTTAAATATTTCCTCTGTAAAAAAAAAGGAAAGTTTGAGATTTCATTTAACCAATTAAAAAAAAAAAAAAAGAGGGGTGCAAGGCTATATTGTCAAAATAATACTCTCATGAGGAAAACAAAAAACTGCTTTAGCAAAAAAAAAATCTCTTTTTAAACACTATCTTTGATTATATTATCTACTGTACGTACAGTGAGAAGCATTACAGCAAGAGAAGTTTTATTCAAATTTATATACTGGCTACAACTAAATGGTTAAAAATTCACACTGAGAGTAGAATTGCACTTTCCTTGGTTGTGATTCTTGTCACAACTGATGTCCTAAGCTGAATATTTAAGCTTTAGTATTTGGATGAAAAATGAAGGTAGATGACTTCTGAGAAGAAGAAAAGTATTCACAAGACTTCATGTGCTCTCAGGGCACCAGCTAAGCAATGTGCTCACATGAAGGCTGGTGTGAAAAAATAATAATAATAATATATTCCTTTTCCTTAGAGTCACTATTTAGACACAGATTTCCAACTTGTAAGGAATATTTTAGTAAAGCAATGCTAATTTTTACATGAACACACTTATTTTTAATTAAAATGTTGATAGCTCTGAACTGCTATCTTTAAACTGAATCAGATTAACAAGAAGCTAAGTGGCCTCTCATACAAGATATTTTGAAATACTTTTTATTTTTGAGGAAGACTAATAGTGCTTTCATAGGAATACATGGCTGTATTGACATGGGACATATTTAAAGTAAATTTATGAAAGCAAAATATAGCAGGAGAGTATTTGTGCATGATGTCAAAGGCCTGACAGGTAATTGTCTGTAAAGCCGTGATGAAGCAGACACTGGAATTTTAGGACTTTAAATGTAGTTCTTAAAAGCATGTGCATGTTTCTTATGGATATAATATTTTAAAATAATTTCAGTGATTCAACAGGTTTTGTGTTTTTTTTTTTTTTTTTTTTTTTTACATTAATTTTTGGTACTGCATGGCAAGAAGCACAAGAAAGTGTCAGTGCCCTGTAACACACAGGGACCATGTTTTAACTCCCCAGTGATACATTCTGCATTGAAAAAAATTAAGGAGAAAAATGAAAATGTAAAATGCAGAATCAGGTGTTGCCATTAATTATTGTTGTTGGAAACACAATGGTTATGAATCAGATCAGGCTTCTCCAATGCAAATGCCATACGTTAACATTTATAGTAAACAGACAGGTAACAACCTATGCTGGCACGGAAATCCTCTCCTCCAAAGACGACTGCATCCAAATGAAAGCCAACCTGGGATCCTGTTCTCAGTGCTTCTTCACAGACAGCCTTCAAATGAGAACAGAGTATTAATTTCTACAGAAACGTGGGATGCAGCGAAACTAAGAGAATATTATAGCAACTCAGTGCTACCGAAATCCTTCAGCTAAAATTGCTCCTATTAAGAAAAGCCATTGTAGGGGCTTAACTATGCGCAGTGCTTTAAAATGACTCGGCAAAAGAGAAAATATTATATTTCCCTAGTCACCTATATGCCTAGACTGTGTAAATACAGGACATCATAGCAGATTCCCTACCTTTTGGTCGACATAATGCTCTGGGTATTACTGTGATCAGTACTTCAGATATTTAGGTAACAATGTGAAACGAAACATTTGTCAAATGCTGCTTAAAAGCAAACAAAAAGTATTAAATTTGATTAGTTTGACATGTAATATATCTGCATGAGAAACAGAAATAAAGATCAGAATATCTTCTATTAAATAAATAATATGAATGGTTTGAAATGGTTGTGGATTCCTTATAGGATGCATCCCTTATGGGATTCTCAAAGTCTTCTGCTACATATAACTAAAAAGTAGTTAAGGATGTTAAAAATGCAACAAGTGCTGCATAAAAGTATCAAAATAAAAGCAAGCAAAATTTTGCTGCTGTAGCTATTCTATAAAGAAGTGCACTTCCAAAATATTACTATTTTATATTGATGTTTGGATAATGTTAGTATTTTTTTAAGGCTAAGTAAGGTACATGGAGAGAGACAGCTCTACTAATGGGTGTTCTTCTATGGCAGCTGGCAAGACAAGAAATTATTCTTTAACAGAGTGCTTTAAAAGGCAACTCTCCTGCCAACATCAGGAACTGCAATATTAAAAATTCCACTCTAAAATACTGTAGGTGAAGAAAAACCTCATCTGGTTTAAAATATGTTTTAATTCTGTATATGCACACTGGACAGGAGCGTGTCTACTTGGTTACTGCTGTATTGTGTTCCCAGATATGTTAGCATGTGTTGCAAGATAAGTGGTTGTATCAAACGAGCAGGCTTCCTGTGAGGCCTGCCGGTACTTCTGGAGGTACTTCTGATGTGTGTGTCCTCAGCTGGTCCGAAAATTTTCCCTTAGAGCTTGGGAGGGGAACGCTGAATTCCTGGTGCATGCACAAGATCTTCTGTTTCATTACCATGCTGCCTTGCCTTTCTGAAAAACCTGAACTTGATAGTAAAGGCTGGGGAGTAATTTATATTAAAATGCACTTTAAAAATAAGATTTGAGCTGAAATTACCCTAAAAAAGGAGCATGCTCTTCAGATATTTGCCATTTTTAGTCAATTATACTTCTAATCTCAGCATTTAAACACCCCATCATACACACAACAAAAACTGTAACATGAAATTTGGTTGTAATGTTATCAGCAGAAACCATTATAAAGATGCCAGTTTAGCATTAGTGAAATGATGACTAATTATTTTTTCCAATTAAATGTTGTACAAAAGTCGAGTCTGATAGCTACTAAACAGCCAAGTGTATTGCAACACTGTGAGTATCTCAAATCTTTGGAGAAGCAAGTTTCCACTCCAAGTGTGTTAAAAACGGAAACAGTACTGCAGAGAGATTTTGTTATTTGGCATGGAGTATCTGGAACTGTTCTGGCACTGAAATATCTTGAATTTATGAAGGCCTTTACAATCCAGACATGAGAGTTAAATGTACAAAAGTTTTAGGTGATTGGACAATACATTTAGTATTTTTTAACCTCTCCTCGTTGATGAAATTAGGGGAAGACTGGGAAGTATTCTGCTTTTCCTAGTTTGCTGAGACAGCAAAATATGAACACTTCAAGACCTGCTTACCTTAAAATTGAGCAAGCCCACTGCAGTTTCCACAAAAGGGATAAAATTCATTGGTTCTACAAGTGTTCGGCCTTTTAGATGATGTAAGAATTTGTCTGAAAACTAAAACTAGACAGTATGAGCTATCAGAGAGGGAAAAAAAAGAACAATCTACATGTATATACAACACATTAAATTTTCACCTGGCTGTAACAACGCCCCTCCCCACCCCAAAAACTTATAATTAAAAAATTTAAACCAGCTTTTAAGAAGGCCTGTGATTTGAAACTGCAGCATTCCCATACATTTCTAAGTTTCCAGGCTGGTTTGCAAAAAAAAAAAAAAAAAAAAAAATCCAGGCTTAGCACCTCTCACCCTGGCTTAGTGAAATGCAAATCCGCGGGCCCTGGAAAACAATGAAGTGCTGCTGTACCTGAGGTCCGGTTTTGTTTCAGGTCCAGCATTGCCATCCCTGGAAATGCTCCCCAGACTTCTAAGTGGCATCCGTATTATTCATTACGGCACTGTTACCCTTTTGTTCAATAGGCTTTTCTTCATAATTTTTTAGCTTACCTAGGAAGGCCTTAAAAAGGAAGTTTAATTCTTTGAAGACCAAAGCTTGCCAATTTTTTCCATGAGACCAGTTCACAGCTAGCTCTGAGCTGCCAGTGGGGTAGCCCAAATTCCAAAATCTATCATCTGGAAACATACAAAAGCTCTTGCACAGATTTCTCCCCTTTCAAAAGGGAAAAAAAAAAAAAAAAAAAAAGGGGAAAAAACCGTCGGCCCTATATTGTAAATCTATTATGTCTGTCCAGATCAGAGTAATTTGTGCAGAGATGAACATATCTCAGGTATGGCAAAAATATGTTTGTAAATAAAGACAAAAATAACATATGCATATATTTTAAGTTTAAGGAATATTCGACTATTAATGGATATCAAAGGAAAGGGAATTTTAATCATCTCTCCATTCAGTCTCAGTTGGGTAAATCATATCTAAGAGATTTGCATAAATATAAACCATCAAAGACTTTTCATCTTCAAAGGGGGTTTCAAGACCCTATAAGCTTTGTACTGTAATCATCACAGGTCACAACCCTGCAGGAATAAGGCTGCTATGGCAACATAAAAAACTAATGCTTAAGGCTTAGCATAATATTCTGACTAATAGAAAGGAAACTCATTTTAAAAGCTGGCAGCCTATTTACCAGAAGCTGGATTAGAGGTGTTATTTCCCCTTTTTAGCTTCCCCCCAACCGCCCCTCCCCAAAAGAAGGAAAATCTAATCACCCAGATCTTGAAAAAAAGCTTTCCAGCAATTTGCAGTAACTTTACAATTAGGCCAAAATAAATCACAGCTTTCGTCGATGAAGAATTCTGCCCTTCCCATCCCTGCTTTGCATCGTCACCATGGCCCTCTTCATAACTTTTATTTGAAGAAGAGAATTCCACCCAAAAATGTGCAAGGGGAAAAAAAATAATAATCAATGCAATTCACACATGCAAGTGTATGGTATGGCATGTACCACAGCAGCAGAAAACAGTAAACTTCATACAGGCAAATGCAAAAAATGAGGTAATACAATGGTATCAGCAAATATTCTTAAGACTCCTATCTCATCTTTATTTTTTAAGTGAAAAGAAAAGTAAAAAGTGCTAACGTGTTTATATTTTAGGTGCTAGTTAGAGCAGCAGAGCTCTTCTTTTATTTTAAAATATTTAAAAAGTCACACTGCTGGGACTTTTGCTATCTTTTGTTTTGAAGGTAAACAAACAAAAAAGCATGTTTAATTAAATATTGTCTCCCTTCCTCTCCCTTTAAAAAAAATTGTGATAAGCACCAATACAGAAGGTAATGAGTGGAGAAGTTTCAATTAATTTTTTTTTTTCAAAAGGAGACGATTAAATGTTTCCGGCCTGGTAAAGTGTTCATTTCAGGCAGAAAGGGGGAGAAAAAAAAAAGAAGGCGGAGGGAAAAAAAACCCCACAAAGCTTGGGGAGGGGATGAAGTAGCAAGGCCTCAGCAATTCTTTCAATTCCAGTGCACACCCAATAGTGTGTCGGGAAGAATGCACACTGGTTGGGATTTGTGGGAGAATTGTCCCGCCACAAAGGAGGGAGAGTTACGCTTGTTATAGTCCAATAAGCCATGCCAGTCAAACAAGTACCCACACTAGGGACAAAAGGAAAGCAAGAGATTCTCACACAAAAGAAAACAAGTAAGCCCATCTTTTAGTTGTGCATCAGCCTCCAGGTTTCTGCTGCACATAAATAAAAATGAAGGGGGGGGGTGTGGGTGTGTGGGGTGTGGGGGGAAATAAACAGCTTCTGGGAGGCTGAAAAATCACAACAGTGAATTTTGGGAGGACTGGGAAAAGAAGGCAGCGGCGTTAAGTGGAGTGTGCTCTTTGTGTGCAAAGGTTGGGCAAAGTGAGGGGGAAGCAAAAGGAGGACCATGAGGCAGAAGTTGTCGGCAAGAAGACTTGCTTGTTTTCCATGACGGAAATCAAAGTTAGTGAGAGGGAAGGTGGAGCAGGATGAAGGGACAAAGAGCCCCCACATCCCACCTTCCCGCAAAACCTACTTGGTGGCAGCAAGGGTTCTGCCATTTTGGAAGCATGAATATTTATCACTGACAAGTTACGTCTAACACTTCCATGGCTGTAAACCCTGAGAGGTATACTCCAGTTAATTTAATTAAATGTTGGTGGAAGCGGACAGTGTACTTTCCATCATGAGTGGTGGAGGCCGAAGGGGCAGTGTCAGGGAATGGACGGGGCTCATCACTTACTCAACGTATTTGCTCATTGTATGCTCACGCCTGATCTTAAGGGTTTGGTCAAGGTTAGATGCTGAGAATAAAATAGATCCTAATACGTCTGCCTGCCTTTCATCACAGCTTGTACGCATGCTAGTTGCTCGGCTAGCAGTTTGCAAAAATATGTAAGTGAATAATTAAGTACTATTCCTTTACTGGCATGTTTCAGAAATAATGGTATATCTAAAGAAATGTCCCCCTTTTCTTGACAATTAAAACAATTATAGCATAATTAGGCCTATTTCAAAGTTTTCTTAAGTAATTTGACATGCCAACCATTTACATTTCAGGTTTTTATTGGCTGAAAAGTCAGTCGTGAAACACAAACACACCTGTCAGCAATTAAAAAGGAAGAAATAGAGAACTGTTCAGGAAATAATATCTGTGCTAATTAAAAACATTAGTTAAAAGCTTCCTGTTTGTTCCTCCAGTTGCCCTAAGGAGTGACCTTCCCCCCAACCCATTTTTTCATATGTCGCTAACATGGTTTCCCCATCTCCTGCTTACCGTGCATGTAACTAAGACTCACGGACAGAGACAGTCATTTTGCTTGTTAGAATAGTTAAAGAGGAGTCAGATAATTATGCTTCTACTTTTGATAATATACTCTGACATCAATATTGGACTGTAAGAGAAATAAATGTTTTTCTTTATAAATGCAAGGTGTTCCACTTATGATTTTTGTATATCACATCTTACACACATTTAAACGGATGCATTTCCCAATTACCTTAGCCAAGCAAGAACATTATATAGTATTTGCAGCCTTCCTCATAGCTCAAGAGTAATTCATCGCTATGACTATGAGCTTGGCCTAATAGCTTCAGTCAAAAGCTACTGTGTTGTTGGTACTCACCCATCTTATTTCTTCAACATTTTCAACCTTTGGCAGCATCATGCTTGAAGGAAGGGTCCTAGACTGCAAAAGCACCTCTAGATCTTCTTCTGCAAGACCGCTGGACACAGAGTTTATCCTAACGCACTTTTCGGCATGGCCAAAGTCAAATTCTTCAAGGGTTTTCACAACTGTCAGTCTTGCTTCTTTCTGTGATATATATGCATTTAAAGGCACAAGAAAAGAAAAAGAAAGCTTATTTTCTAGCAGCAGAAAAGCACACTGAGCAAAAAACTTGTTGAAACGAAGTGGGGAAAAAGCTAGACAGCCAGTATATTGGTGTTCCCAAAATGCCTGTCATTCCTGGACTTTTATTGAAGCAGTCATCACCAGCACCTCGCAATTTTACTTTCCTTGTTTTTTTATAACTAGCAAATAAAATGCTTGGTTTTCACGTCTAAGTATTTCTACACTACCACTTGTAGAAAACATGACTTTTGTATCCATTATTGCTGCATATGTCTAACAAACACTAATCTTTATACTAACCACAATGTGTTGAACTAATCGTCTGCACTCACAAAAAAGGCATGTTAATCAATTTGTATAAAACAATTAATTTTTGTAATTCATGTGTACATTGCCTGCGCTAAAGCAGCATGGATGTCAGTGAGCACAGATGTATATATACTTTGCTGATTTGCTATATCAACCTTCCTTTTCTCCATATATCCAAAGTTTATTAAATCCTGTAGTAGAGTTCACAACTCACAAGTGAAAACAACGCCAAAATAACTTGTAGATTTTTCTCAAACCATGTAAACAGCTATTCTCTCGCCAGCACAAAATAAATCTCCAAAGACACACGCTTCCTGTGGCCGTTTGCTATTTTTGTGAATGTGAATTTACAAATTTGGTTAATATTTTATTTGCATGAAGAATACTCGTACGCTTTTCTGAAATGAAATGCATTTCTTGGCCCAGAGAAGAAGAGGAGAGGTGGAAGGAGAGCACTGGGCTCCCTGTTCCTGCCAACGGCAGTTTCAACCCCAAATTCCTTCCACTCGCCAACAGCCCCTAACAAATTTGCATTGTCAAAATGCACACTTATCAAAAGTCATTTCATTTGTAAAGAGTTTTTATGGGGCTAATAAAACTTTAAAGCTCCTGACTCACGGAGGTTCAGGAACGGCTTTAACAACATGCAGTCGTTGAATAGAGATGCTTTTCAAGAAAACAGGCACACTCAAGGGGGAAAAAAGAAATCACCAAAGTTAATATCCAGGCTAATACCAATCAGCGAGACAGCACATGACAGTAGATTTAAACCAGACGGATGCAAATCTTTGCCAGAGAGAGGGGCAGAGGCGGTTTCCCAATGTGGTCTGAGTTAAACAGTGTGAGGGAACAGTAGCTTACAGTTGTCAGGTCCGATCAGAACAGGGGCTCCCAGGCCAGTTTAAGACAGCTCTGCAGTGTACTGATTTACAGGGCTGGGACCCCCGATAATTAGGGTAAGTTTAGAGAAAAGCAACTGATGGCTCTAACTCGTTAAAAGGAAGGAATAATGAAGCAGAAAGTTAATGAAATCTGAAGCAAGCAGCCTTTGGCTTGGGGCTACTCGCTGTGCCTCTCTGAAGGCTGGGAGCATATGCCCGTTCATCGGACAGACGGGAACAAGGCTCACATGTATGCATCCCTGTGCTGCGATCAAGGGGCGCGTTCGGAGGTAATCTCTGGAAAATACAACCCGAAACGTCCAAACTGCTGTGAATGGACTCTGACTGGGGCCATTAGGAAAGCCACACAAAGATGCATGTAATTTACTACAAACACGTCCAGCTGGAACACAGCTCCAGCACACAGCCATCTGAAATAGTCCTTCCGAATTAGGTAAACCAAACCATATGATGCCATTACCGGGTAATACAAATCCCCTACATTTTCCTTGTCTGACTAGAGGTAATGGGTTTCTAGGGCTGGGCCGAAAGTTTCTGGATATGATGCAGAAGGGTAGCTTAAAAACATGCTCCAAACCAATTTATGCTTTTAATTAAACTCAGATTATCACCGTTTCAGCACACACTGATCCAATTTGCAAAAGAAAGATCTCCCCAAATTATGCACTAAAGCAGCATCCAATTCCAACCGAAGGCACATCTCTAGCAAACTTACAGCCTAATTCATGATGATTTTTTTCAGATTATAATAATGAGTGGTAGACCGTCTCATTAGCTATTTTTCTCCTCAGGCTGCAAACTCCCTTCCCCAAAAAAGACAGATCGTGTCTTTCTAGGTATATTTCCATACAAAACACTTATTAACAGGCTGTTGCTGTTATCAATTTACATAAACTAAATATGCAGCCCTCTGGTATGTATCCCAAAAATAACCAACAACTTCACTGAATTTATACCAACCAACAAACATGGGGAGGGAGTTGTTGTTTTTTCCCATATTTTAATAGAAAATATGTTGCTATGTTAGTTAACACACCCATGCCATCTGTTGGGTTGAGGATTGATGCATTTGCTTAGAATCACTACGTTTTAGATCTGTCTGCCTAGATACTCCAGGAATGGAAATGTTTCCTTTTCATGATAAAATACTTCTACTCACTGTAGTTTCCACATCAGGATTTAATTTACTTTTTTAATGGTGGGACAAACTGAGAGGAGCTGGTTGCCAAAGCCAGACCTTGTGAGGGTGTGCCTACCCTTCCTTCAACAGCGAAAGTCCCACAGAGTTAGTGGGGTATATCAGGTCCCCACCACATCTTCCAATAAAACATTTCATGGGTAAATAAAAAAAACGTACTAAAAGCTCTGACTAAATGTACTAAAAACATGGAGGAAAGGAAGAGCCCTTTCTGCCTTATGACACAAGGAACTGTAGATGCTATTCTTACAGTGGGATCCATGCAAAAGCCAAAATTTTAAGCTGGGTAAACTACTTCAACATTGTAACAGTAAAGAAAAAAGCAGTCCTTGACAGAATAACACCTTTATAGCAGTAGACGCAAGAATAAACCCATTTTCCAAACACTATGTAAAGTCCCTGCCAAGAATGGTCCAACTAGAATTTTTAAAGACGAGTGAAAGACCCTATTTACCCTGTTCTTTAATTCTCCCATGAGAATTACAACATTGAATAACACTCTGTCATGAATTAATAGCTGATAAAGAAATAAACCTGATTGTTAAGTAAATGATTCCACCCCGAGGTAGCTTTGGATGGTGGTATCCCCATTGGGTCCCACATGGGCTGGATTCTTCATCAAACTGAACAAGAGAGAAAGACAACACAGAGCTTAATGGTAAACAGTGATATTATTAAAATACATTAAATGTGCAACTTGTGCTGGAAAACCCACTGGAAAAAAACTTGGTCAGGGTGGCCACTTTAGCATCCCTTCTGTTTGACTCTGAGGAGGACACGGAATGATGTTCATTACCACGCACAGCTAAGCCAACTGGAGAAGATAAAGGTTTCAGTGATGCAGCATCACCAACAAATCCACCGCCACCCAGACACACAGACACTGAAATAAAAGACGGTAATACGCGTGTTGCCGGCTCGATTGGCACCCATTAAACCTAATAACTAACCATCCTCATGAGTTCCTAGCTCTGAATTATCAAATCTGCAAAGAAAACAACATCCATCCACTTTTACACTCCAGTGGAAGAGGTGGTCCCTTGCGGCGGGGCTGTGCAGTCTCGCCATCTGGAGAATAAATCGAGTGTGAAGTACAGTATAGTTTGGGACCAAGCTCCGTGGCGGCAGCCCAGCAGTTAGTTCATTAGTCCCAAATTTGCGGGGATTAGTGCGGTATCAGCTCTACTGTCGGATGGGATCAGGCAGGCAGAGCGCGAGACTCAGGGAAGGGGGTGGCGGCAAAAAAGGAGACCCTTGGGCTTATTTATAAAACTACAGAGTATAAGCGCACCCAAATAGGTGCCTTTGGTAACAGTATTATCATAGTCTCCTATGAGCTGAATCAGTACCTTTCCTTCTTTCCTTCTTTTTTTTTTTTTTCCCCTTTTTTTCTTTAAGTTATATGTCAAGACATAGAAATATCCGCTTTGAAACAGAAGGATGCCACAGAGCTGGAAGCTCAGCTGCCCACTCACCCTGGATACAGTGTTAATACAGCAATAATGAAGCAAAGATTAACAGAATTTTGGGGACTGCAACAGCAGACGGAAAAATGACATTTTTGTCTTTCTTTTCAAACTGGTACGACACCCCACAAACTAGTTTTCCAGCACTGTGATTTCTAGACCTGCCTGGTTTTGTGGACAAAATCTTTATTTTGCTTTATCTTTCTAGCCTAGTCTTACCTCCCCTTTTTTTTTTCCCCTCTCAAGACCTTCAGGTCTTAATGTAAAGATAGTGCGTATACTTAAAGATATGTTTATGTATATCTCTCATCCTGTTAACGCATTTTGGTAATAATTCTTCATATGGAAATGTAAATATATGATGTGCTAAAATGGCAGGCCAGAATCTATCATCCGCATTGCCATAATGAGTTTGCATGTTTCAACTGGCAGAGGAAAATTAATTACAATTCAAGTTATTTTTTGTGACAGGTCTGACATGGTAAAAACATACAATTATGTGTTAATGTTACTTCCCTTGAGTCGTTTGTTTACAGGACTTGACTTGAACCTTTTGGCACTCGTATTAGTGCATACCCTATGAATGCATCTCTCAAATAAGATTCTGTGAAAGCGCACACATACATTATACACTCCCAGTGATTTTTTGGGGCAAAATTGAGTTTCTGCAGAGGGAAATCTTCACATTTTTTACATACTTTGTCTCTGTTACTGATGTCATACAGAATGCTACTTCATTTAGTTTCAAATTCACAAATGGGATTGGCAAGAGAAAAGACAAATTACATTTGTTTTTAAGGAAACAAAGAGAACGGTAACCACAGAGCAGCGTGTTTCTGAGAACAGGAGGTGCCTAGTTCATGAGACTTGCCTTCTACCTTGCATGCATCAGGTACTTGTGAGAATAAATCTTTGAAATGGCACATATTTATTTCTAGTTAATCTTGTTAGACTGAAAAACTGATGTAAAACATGCATACACTGCAAAGCCTTCAGGAAGCTGTTACTAAATAATTTATTTTAGTTACCTTTGAGCAGATAATCAGTTGAGGAGTTTTTAAAGACTTACGAAGTTTTAAAACACCT